GGAGGGGGGGGGGCCCGCAGAGTGATGGCACTGTGGGAGGGGGGTATCTGGAAGGAGGGAAAGGAGGGCAACGGTATTTGCTTGCAGGGGCCATCGTTCCGGAACCGTTGCTCTCCACAAGCGGGGTGTTCAGGGTGCAGGCGGGCCAGCCTATAGCTAAAATTGTCCCAGCCTCCGATCCTTACTTCTACCACCTTCATTTCCCCCCCCCAAAAAAAACTTGTAGAGGAGGCAGTGATGGCGACGGAGGGCGTGCAGCGTGCCATGGCCCTGGTGCTGCGCTACCCCTTCAACAACGCGCTGCACCACGCCGCCACGCGCCTGCTGACCTCCTTTGAGGTGGGCAGCCCGGCCTTGGTGCGCCACCTGCTGGGGCCCTGCGGCCTGCTGCGCTGGCTGCTGGATGCGCCGCGTGAGGTGCGGCCGGCGCCCGCGCCCGCCGACGCGCCGGCGCCGGACGCCGCCAAGCGCCCCGCGCCGCGCCCGCTGCGCGCGGGCTACGCGGGGCACCTCACCCACCTCGCCAACCGCCTCGTCGCGACGGCGGAGGAGGAGGGCGGCGCGCTCGTACGCGAAGCCCTGCGCGCCAGCCCCGAGTGGGAGGCCTTCGTTCGGGACCAGCTGGAGCCGCGCAACGCGCTGGAGAGCGTGTTTGCCTGGCAGTGCGGCCGCCCCACCATGCATGGAGGTGAGCAGGCTTGTGGGTTGGTCGTTGAGTAGGGGCTGGGGGTGAAGGAGACGAGGGCCAAGGGGCGGCTGGATGGGAGATTGGCGGGTGTATGGCTGAGTCAGGGTGCCCAGGCAAGGATCGGAGGGGTGCAGCCGGCGCGCATGTATCACCAGGCATGGGCAGGGTGGCCCAAGACCTGCAGTGCACCCCGCCGATGCATCATCGCAGGATGCAACCTCGTAGACCCAGCTTGCCATGAGCCCGGCTCGCCCCGCTCTCTCCGCGCTCGCCCCACCCCCATCCCCCCCTCCTCCCTTCCCCCTGCAGGCGACTCGTACCAGCACGACGCGTACCAGCGCTACGGCGTGTTCGAGGGTGACATGGAGGGCGGCGAGGAGGAGGAGGACCTGGACGTGGTGGCCGCCTCGGCGCTGGCCACCGTGTCGGGGGGGAATGGCGCGGGGCCATCCCTGGGGCCGGTGTGGGGGCCGGGGCCTGGCAGTGCGGGGCCAGGGGTCACACCCTTCCACTCCTTTGTGGACAACAGCAGCTCGTCAGATGAATCGTCAGACGACGCCTCGGGCTCAGATTCCGGTACAGTGGCGGGGGGAGGGGGGTGGCCCAGTTGGCAGGGGGGGTTGGTTTGGCAAGGGGATGGTGAAAGGAGGGAGATTCTGTTGGAGCGGGCGTGCCTTGCAGGGGCTCCCAAGAGCATGTGTCCCGTACTTGCGCGAGCCCTGGGTGCGCGCCCCCTCTCTCATCGATCTCAGTGCGCCATGTCCGGCGTTCGTCGCACCTACACCCTCGCGGCCGCATTGCAACATGCAAGGACCTTCGCCGACGTCCCTCCCTTTCCCCTGAAACCACAGACGGCAACAGCCCGCGGGGCCCGGTGAACGACCTGGCCGCCAGCGTGGTGGTCGGCTCCGTGCGCTCGGCGTCCGACGGCGCGGACATGGCCGACATGTCGGACGATGCCGTGCTGCAGGACGTGGAAGTTGCAGAGCAACTGGTGCACCTGCGCGCCGACTTCGAGGGCGCGCTGCACCTTCGCGACGCCCCCGGCGAGGGCGGCGCCGAAGGCGACGGCGAGGAGACTCGGCGCGGCACGGACGACGCGGGGCGGGAGGCGGAGTACGACGCCTTCCTCTTCTGGAAGACGGAGTTGCCAGGGGTGGGGCCGGGGGAGGGCGGCAGCCCGGAGCCCGGCCCGCCGGCTGGAGATGCCGGCGCGGAGGGTGCCGCAGAGGACGGCGCTGGGGACGGAGCAAGGAACGGCACGGAGGTTGGGGCGGCTGAAGGGGCAGCACAAGGAGCCAGCCCTGTCCAGGACGGGGGCGACGCCAAAGGTGCCTGAGTGGAGGCGCAGGACTCGTCTGTACACCGCCGCGCCACAGAGGAAAGGAGCAGGTCGCGCCGCAAGGCTGCGGACCCTGCTTGCGCTGTGTTGTGGATGTGCCCATGCCCCCTGCTGCGACACTTGGCCCCCACCCAGCAGAACCCCCCTTCATACTTGACGCGTGCTGCCTGAAACTTGACCCCTTGCGTTAGTAGCCAAGTGACACAAGGCGGGACGATTGCACCGCGGGTGAGTACTCTCTGGATGAATAAAAATGTCCAAAGCTGCGTCCCTAGGTGTGGGCGCTCCAGCGGCAAAGTCTTGCCGACACCCGCATCAGCCCGCCCAGCGTGATGTGCGGCTGTATCTCCAGCCGCCAAGGTTTCATGACCCCTGGCACGCCGCCAAGGCGCGGATGAAGGCCTGCTGCTCGTCCGTCTCGGGCGAGCGCGCGATGTTGTCGCGGCGTGTCGAGAAGGCGCGCTGGACGCGGTCCAGGGCCTCATCGGCGCCCAGCCCGTAGGCGCGACGCAGGAAAGCGGCGCCCACGGTGCCGGCCCGGCCGCGGCCGCCCCAGCAGTGCAGGTACACGCCCCGGCCCTCCTCCAGCTGGGCGCGGAGATCGGAGAGCACGCCCTCCAGTCTGGAGGGCAGGGAAGTGAGTGGCAGGGAGTGATTGTGTGTTGGCGGGATTGCTGGAGCAGTCGGCAGGTTGCTCAGGGAGCGTACGAGGGAAACTGCAAAGGGGAGTGATGCAGTGTCTCAACGATAGAGACAAGAAGGGGCACCATTGATCCACCATCCGCGCTCTCACATGTCTGGCTCAGGCAGACCCAGGTCCACAATGGGGTGGTGCAGGAAGGTGAGGTCTCTGGAGATCCTTGCCGCAGCTGCCTCTGGGTCTGCCACCGCCTTGCGGCGCGGTGGCAGGAACTTGTCCAGGTCGGGGGTCCTGAGCCCTGAAGAAGGGGGGAAGGGCAAGGACAGGAGGCTGTGGATGCACGTGCGGATGGCAAGAGGCACAGCAGGTATCTGAGAATGTTCAGGAGCAGCACAAACTGCAATTAGTACACGAATGTGTATCTTGACCAGGTCTCCTCCCCGCTCCCAAGCCACCCCACCGTTGAACTGCTCCTGGCTGGGAGGGGGTGCCAGGGATGCAGCAAGCAGACCGGCAATAGGTTTGTATGCCTGGAAGCCGTTGTGCCCACCCACGGTCAGCTCAGCCTGGGGCGGAAGCTCTTCCTGCGCAGAATGGGGTACAGGGGAGCAAAGTGCAGGCACAGGGTTGGACAGGGGTTGTAACATCAAAGAGCTGGGGGACAGCTTATCCGATTCGTCCCTCTCTCCTGGACATAGGAATTCAGCACAAACTCATGCAAAGTTGCACTGAAGTACCTGGAGACAGATGAATGTTGTGATTCCGGCTTCCAGGAGTTGTTTAAGCTGCGCCTCGCCCATTTCCCTGGACCTGGGAAAGAATATTAAGGTTGCAAGAGTTGTATCAAGTCTTTTGAATGGCACTCTTGTGGGAGTGACCAGGTATGCCACCCTGCCCCTGACACAGATTTTTGCCATCCCTTCCGGCCGCCCACCTGCAGCGACTGGGCTCGATGAAGGGGTACCGCCCCAGCATCAGGCGCCCAGGGATCAGCCAGTTCCCAAAGCTGGTGAAGGTGCATCGCTCCTCGTACCGCTCTGTGCTTGGTATGGAGGTAATTGTGAGTATCGGTTGATGGGTGGAATCCTGCACCCATGACAGCATGGTAAATGTGCTTTCCCAGCCCCAAGAGCAGGCCCACCCCGTAACTTGGAGCAAACCCTAGCCGCCATGGCGTACCATCCAGAGGTGGGAGGGCTGGAAGACTAATGGAGGAGGTGGTGCTCGCGGATACTGCACGGGCCCCTGCCACCCACCGATTCGGCCGCCGATGACGATGCTGGGACATTGTGGGAGGGAGCAGGCTGGAGCGGGCGGGCTCTGATGTCCTGCTCGGATACCCAGCTTTTAATTGCATAGAGCCGTGCATTTATTGAGTGGATATAGCTCGCTGTCTAGCACCAGCCCAGGACGGTGCGGAATCTGTATGAGTAATGCTGCGCCACGAACTCGAGCTCTGCCCCTCTCACGGGCATCTTTGGATTCAAGATTTTGAGAGCTTGATTCCGGGATGGCTCTTCGGTGGGGAATCACTGGAAATTGTCAATGGCAGCACCCCACGTGTCGGCGCCCCGACGAGGATCTGTGATCACCGTGCATCTGCTCTCCACAGCATGCAGCTTACAAGCCACCCCACTTTCACACACAATGAATGGGATTTCGTCTTCCTATCATCCTGATCACAGCAGGGCGTGCGAGATGGAGTGTCGGGAAACATAGTGACGCCCCTGTATGGAGTGACGGGACATGGACCCAGCTTTTCCCCCCCGCCTCCCTGCGCCTGCGATCCCTAGATGTGCGGGATATCTCATGTATGGGTCCTAGCAGAACTTCGTCTCGATAAATTGCCCCTGATCGCCCCTGAGCAGCAATGGGTTCCACCCGAGGCCGGGGCTCTCCCTCACCCCTCCTTCCACCCTCTCCCCCCCTCCCCCCCAGCGGTCCCCCCATGTTTGAGCGGTGGAAGACGGGCGAGCACGCCCCCCTCTGGCGCCTGCGCTACATGTTTGTTTGCCACTTCACCCAGGCCCTCTTCATCGTCCTGCCCTACACCGTGTCGGTGTATATGGTGCGCGACTTCCTCGTGGCCGGCGCCGCGCCCGGCCAGCCCGTGCCCGAGCAGCGCGTGGGCGTGCTGACCGGCGCGCTGGGCGCCGTCTCCTCCGCGGCCGCGCTGCTCACCAGCTACCCGCTGGGCGCGCTGTCGGATCGCGTGGGGCGGAAGGCCGTGATCCTGGTGGGGCTGGCCTCCAGCGTCGCCTCGCTACTCTGGTACGGCGCCGCGCCCTCCCTGTCCCAGGCCCTGGCCGCCCGCGCGCTGGGCGGCGCGTTCAACGGCGTCATCGGCGCGGAGAAGGCCATGATTGGCGACTGCTGCGACGCGCGCGCCGCCACCCGCGCCTTCTCCCTCTTCTCCTTGGCCTGGGGGGTGGGCGCGCTCTTCGCACCCGTCCTGGGCGGCGGCCTCTCCCGCCCCTGCGCCGGCGCCCTCGCCGGGGCCACCTGGGCGTGCGGTGACGCGGGCGCCCCGTTGCGCCGCTGGCCCTACCTCCTGCCCTGCGCCGTGTCGGCCGCGCTGTGCGCGCTGGCCCTGGCGCTGTGCGCGCTGGGGCTAGAGGAGACGCTGCCGGGGAAGTGCGGCGACGAAGGTCTGGGCTCAGGGCAGGCCAGCCTGAACCTCAGCCTGGCCAGCTCCGTCCAGCTGTCGGTGCGGCGTGAGGGTGGCCTGGACAGCGTCTCCCTGGACTGGCCGGCAGACGACCGCCCTGGCCAGGTGGGGCCGGAGGCGGAGGCGGCAACCCTGCTGCCGCAGAAGACCGACGGCAGAACGGCGCCCGGGCCCGACGGGGCGGGCGCACAACTGCCGCACACGGCCTGGCACAAGGACCGGCTGGTCATACTGTGCCTGATCGGCTACGGCGCCGTGGCCTTCATCTACAACCTGTGAGTGTTGGAGTTTTGTGGTTTATGGGGGGAGAGGCCACACCGACGCTGACGGCTGGGCCACCTGACGTGATGGGCAGGCATGTGAATACTTCATCAGAGCGTGCTGCCCTGCCTGCTCCCCTCCGCATGCCCTGCGCTCGAGGTGGCCACCCCTCCCCCTCCTCGCCCGCCTTCCCTCTCCACGCCCACCTCACGTGCACGCCACCCCCCCCCCTTCACCTCCACAGCTTCGACGAGCTGCTCCCGCTCTTCGCCTCAGCCCCGCGTTCCGAGGGTGGGCTGGAACTGCAGCCCTCGGGCCTGGCCCCCTCCAACGCCTTTGGCGGCGCCGTGCTCATCCTGTTCACCCTCCTGGGCCTGGGCCCCGCGCTGCGCGCGCTGGGTGTGCTCCCCGTCACCCGCCTCGGCCTGTGGTGCGTACTGCCCTTTGCAGTCCTGGTCCCCCTGGCCAGCGAGGCGCCCCCCGGCCGCGGCGTCCTGCTGCAGGCCACGCTCTTCGCTGGCCAGGCGCTGCGCTCGACGTCGGCCGCCACTGCCTTCACCGGCTGCCTGATCCTGGTCAACGCCGCGGCGCAGCGCTGCGGCGCGCTGGGCGCCGTCAACGGCGCAGGACAGGCGCTGGCCTCGGCCGTGCGCGCCGCGGGGCCGCTGGCGGGCGGCGGCCTCTGGGCGGGCGCCGTCGCGCTGGGCGGCGCGCCCTGGTTTCCTCGCGCCGCGCTGCAGTACGTGCCCTTTGCCGCGCTGGCACTCGTGGCCATGCTGGCGCAGGTCCTCTACCTCCACGTGCACCTGCCCCTGGAGGGTGGGGGGGAAGAAAGGGGGGCACAGGATGACGCTGAGGCCCCGCCGCTCAGAAGTTGATGGCTTGCGGATGTCTTTGGTGTGCGGTGGGAACACCCGCTGTAGTTTAACTCTCTTTCCCTGGCTGTGGCCTTGGTTACAGCACGTGTCTGTGCAGCCTGGAGTCAGATTCAAGCCGTTCCCTTTGGCGCACTCAGTCCCAGTGGGGCGTCCTGTGTAGGAGCACATACTGCACGTATGTGTTGCAAGCAGGGGAGAGGCCGGGGATGTAGAATGCGCGGGTGAGGACCGGCGACCGCCCCGCATCCAGGAAGGGGAGCACAGTCACGACCTCCCACTCCGAGGCGTTGCCTGGAGGTTGGGAGGTATTGTGATGGAGGTGCATACACTAGTGATAGAAACCCCGAGGGGTTGCACACATCCAGGGAGGCGTTGCGCTTGTGGCATCCATGATCTGTTGTACATGGCAATGCATATGCAGACACCAATTCACCCATGATTGCACACTACATTACCCTTATCAAGATCATCACCCTAGACTCGATCAAGGCTGGGCATGGTGGGCTGATGTGGCAAGAATGCTGGCCCCATCCCCTCACAGCCTCCTTCTCACAACGCGCTCACCTGGTTTGTCTAGGTACGCCCAGCCTTGCTCCGCACCAGGGTCCTGCCAGCGCTGCGTCACCAGGTATGCGCAGCCGTCAGACGTGGCCCACGCGTTCTCCGGCTCCTCCCGGTTCAGATTGTTGAGCTGGCGTGGGGAAGAGGCTGTGCCGCCCTGTCATGATCAACCAGGACGGCGGCATGAGTACAGGTGTATGGGTGTCGGGAGAATGACATACATTGGGGACATGCGCACATTGCTGCGCTGCACGACTGATTGCACATTGCAGGCTGGCGTAGCGAGTACACCGTTCTGAATTGCCTCCACAGGAGGAACAGCGCTACGAACCTACCTCCTCGGCGCTAAAGGGCCGGGGCAGGAGCCCGGTGAAGCCAGACTTGACGAACTGGAGCCTGTACCTCGGTCCAGGCAGCCAGAAGGAGCTGGGGAAGCGGTACCACTCCGCGCCGAGGCAGACCGGCACCTCGTGGCCCGAGCCCTGCAAGGAGGGTAGCGCCGCAAACACGAGCGGCGGGGCGCGGTACCCGGTGTATAGCGCCGCCAGGCGGGAGATCGAGCCGAGGGCGAAGAGTGCCAGCACGCCAAGTGTCAGTGCGCGCGAACCCCTGCGCGCCGAGTGCGCTTCCCAGCCCAGCATGCGGAGCGCGGCCCGACTACCTCTCCCAAGGGCAAGTACCGTGGTGCCGGCCGCCACACACATCTGGGGAGGGAGCGCAGGTGGAGGTGGCGGTCGAGCGGGGGTGGGTGATGGCAGGGTGGTTAGGGCCCAGGGACCGCTGGCACTCGCACGCCGCAAGGGAAGCTCGGTGCAGCTGCAGACCATGCCGGGCACATGAACGCCGGGATTGTCCCCAGCCCATTCATGCAGGCAGAGCGTCTGTGGCCGGGACGGGTGGCATGGGTGCTCGACTCCGCATGCCCTCACCAACCCTCCACCCCTCTCGCATCCCAGCATAATCCGCACCAGGGGATACACAACAAACAGGAAGCGCTCCTCTTTGTGCGGAAGCGCTGAGATGGCCGCCAGCCAGAGGAAGGCGGGGCCGAGGACGAGGGCCCCTAGGCTAACCCGGGCCTTTTTTGGCAAGCCTGCGGGGCAACAGCGAGGGTGGCTGGGAGGGTGCCATGGCCATGGGCACAGACAGCAAAGCCCCCCCCGCGGCCCAAGCGCGTGGACCCGACCTGATGCGTCCCCTGCCTCGGGCACACAGGAACGTCTCCCCACCAGCGCCCGCGAACGCAGGCGGCCCACCTGCCAGCGGGAGCGCCAGCGGCGCGGCCATCACCAGCGCCAGCCCCGCCTGGAAGTTGACGGCCGCGTTGCGCAGGTAGAATGCGGGGCCCTCAATGCCGTAGAGCGCGCTGTCGCCGCCGCCCACAACGTTGTACCGCACGAAGTTGAGCAGGGACACCGTCCAGCGGCCGTAGGCCGCGCGGTCGGCCAGCGCCAGCGGGGCCAGGGTCGCCAGCAGCGCCAGGGCCAGGGCGGGCAGGGATCGCGCCAGCGGGCAAGAAAGCAGCACCAGCAGGGCCAGGGGGAGGAAGGCGATGCCGGCCACACACCAGCCCCAGACGACTCCTGCGTGGAGGGTGGTGAGAGGGCAGGGCGGTGCGTTTGGTGGATTGGAGGCTGGGCACGTCCGGCGAAGCGTGCGCGCAGGTGTGATCAGTGCGAGCAGGAGACTCGTGTGCCAGAGTGGACAGCGGTGTGGCCCTGTGTTCCATTTCGGCATGGATATGGTGCAAGAGCAGCTCATGCCCCGCACAGGACAATTGGCCAGACCATTCACAAGACAACCCACCCTAGGCACCTGCCACAGAGACTGCGACGGTCAGACTGACCCGCCGCTCCAGTGCGGCGGCCACGGCAATGGTCAGTGCCAGGCCGGTGAAGGTGGAAGGCAGGAACGCGGTGGACGCAATGAAGCATGCACTGCTGGCGGTGAGGAGGGAGAGGCTGATGCGCGCCAGGGCCGGCGAGACCCTCCGCTCAATGGATCTGCGGGGTGGGTGGGGGGGGGGCAGTACTTTGCCATCCCTGGCGCATGCATGCAGTGCCGCTTGAAGGGAGACAGGAGCAGGAGGCCAGCGCAAGGGCAAAAGGATGGCCCTGTCAATCCTCCACAAGCAGCCATGCTCCCACCTGATTAGGTATGCTTCACTGGCAAAGGAGGCCAGGGCAAAGACGATCCTTAGCCAGAAGAAAACGACCAACTTCCCTGCGGACATCAGATAGGTTGAGGACCTTGAAGGACTCATCGGTTTGGGTAGAACATACGTAATGTGTGTGGCTGAGAGAGAGGTCTTGCATCTTCTTGCCGAGAAACATGGTAGGAGAGCCTGCCCTGCATCCTCGACACTGCCCGTCGCTTGATCACTTGGGCACTGCTGAGCGTCACTCGGTACGACATCCCTGGCTGCATCATGGCCCGTCCCGCACCCACCCTTCTCTGTGCCTGCCCAGTTGAGCAGGGGTAGCACCACTGCGGCATGCAGGTCCAGGTACCAGTAAGAGCGGAGGGCGAACTCGGCGCTGTACTCCCAGGTCTGCAAGCCCTTGGCGTACAGGAGATGGTGCAGGGGTTCCCAGTAGTTGTACACCTCATCGCAGTCGTGTATGAGGTTCAGGCAGGCGCTGGCCAGCCGGGCCGCGAGCAGGGCGAGGAAGGCCAGCTGCCCGGGACCGTGCCCCGGCGGGACGCGAGATGGGAGGACGGTGGATCGCCCGGATGCGGAATCCTTTGTAGATACATGTGTAGACTTGATCCGCCGACGCAGCATTGGGACAGGTCTCCGCGCGACTGAACATGCGATAGGTATCGATGGAGGGATCGCACTCCTCGGCTCAAAGGATCCCTTTCAAATCTGCACAGGTCTCATCCTTCAGTCTCAGGACTAAATATTTGGACCATGATATGTGCCAGTCCTCCAGTCCGGCGTAGCGCAGCTTAGAGAAGAGCTGGACGTATGTGATCTGGGACCATCCGCCGTACATGCAACTCGCGCAGCACGAGTCACCTGCGGGGGGCTTCGAGCCCCGCACCTGATGCAAACATCCCGATGATCGAGAGTGCGTCGTCAACAATGCGATCTGGACATGCACCCGAATTTCGATGCGATGGATTGGAGATCGTGATCGCAGAATACCTGAGGGTCACTTTTCTTGCTTGCCAGGCCTGCCAGGCACCGGGCGTAATCATGCCCGACAAAAGGGAAGTATGGATACAGGTTACCGGTGATCCAGGCCACGTCTGCATGGATTGCGTGGATTTTGCATCAAGATCCCATCCGAGTAAATCCCACGAGACAGAACCATCACTTTGTCGGTGGGTTCGACCTCCGGACGTCCGCAATCCCCATGGCGTCAGTTCCGAGAGGCGGGCCGCTGACGACAACATGGCCCGAGGAACCCCCCCACCACATCCACTCTCGGGCAGCTTCAGCGGACTTCGTAACGTGTAAAAACCTGCATCTTCCGAGGATTGCGCATAGATTGCATGCAGAAGTCATCGGAAACGTAGGAGGTGTCACTTCCGAGAGTCCCTGGGCGAGTCCACCCCCCATCGCACATATACAAGACCGGGCCCTTATCCCTCACCATTCACCTTCTGTTCTCACCCCATACACGCCCCATACACTACTCTCGTCAACATATAAAGTCATACATTCACACACAATGGCTCGCACAGCAGTTTCCATCGCCTGCCTCCTGGTCGTGGCCCTGGCCATCGGCGCCCGTGCCGACGAGGACAGCCCTCTGGTCAAGGTCCGCATTACCGGCCACCTGGGCGACTTCACGCCATTCGACTTCTCTGGCACTGGTGACTTCGCGGTAGACCCCGATACCAAGAAAGTGGTGAGTCGTGGTAACCTGTGAAGGCCAGAGTAGAGAAATCACATACTCATGACCAGTGACTGCCCCAGATCCCTCCCACTGCCCACTCATGCCCACGCCTCTCGCCCCCATTCACCAGGGTGTGGCCACCGCATCTGCCCTGGGCGTGAACGATTTCAAGCTGTGGCTCGTCAACGGTGAGTCAAGGTCGTGGGCAGGGACCTCGGACCCATCGCGCGCCCTTGCATGAACGCGTTCGGCCCGACTCGCACATGCCCAGTCTCAGCTTCTCTCCACTTCCCAAATGCCCATCAAACAGGCGAGAACCCCGTCGCTGACTCTGATGCCACCGCGTCTGCGGTGAGAACCAGTGTCGTTAGTGCTCTGGTCTTGAGATCCAGCAACGCACGTGCGCGGCCGTGCCCCGGGTTGCGTGCGGCCGGCCCCAATGACCGGACGCCTCACCCGATCCCCACCCACTCATCTCACAGGACACCGGCGCTCTCGTCCTCGCGGCTGCGGCGCAAGCCATCGGCCAGGGCGACACCCAGGTCAAGACCTTCACCGGCACCTTCCCATGAAGACCCACATGCAGAGCGAGCGAACCCGGTGCCGCTGACTCACATATCTCAAACTCCCCCCATCGTGCCTTGTGGGGGCGGGGAGCTGTTCAAGTTGGCACCCCTATCCCTTTCTGTAATATTGCATCACGTCATCATCCTTGGGAAGCCTGACAGGCTTGTCATCAGAAAAGGGGGAGACTTGGCTCGGCGGGGTGGCATGGTCAGTAACCCCGCAATGATGAGAATGTGTTGCTTCTGAGTGAAAGGCAAGGTGGCATCGTCGCAAGGAGGCAGCGCAAAGAGGAAGCAGAGCATGATCGCACCAGCTGGGGGTCCTCCTTTTCCATTGGTTACCAGGGGAGCGGGAAGGTGGCTGGGAGGGCATGAAACCAGCGTCTCGCCAGCATGTCATCCTGCACCCGAGCGCATGGATTGCCGCCCAGGTACCCCCTCCCTGGGCTGATTCTCGATGGGAATGCCGGGCTCCGGTGTTCACAGGTCCTGCCTCACTCTCTGCCGCACTGCCTTGGGGCTTGCAGGCACATGCGCCGGCCTATAATGCCATGGCCATGGCCAGCGCAGCCGCCAGGGGCCCCACCAGCCATGCTGGTCCTGGCATGGCCGCCGCCAGGGCCGCGCTCCCGGGTGGCGGCGGTGGCGGCGGCGTCTTCTTCCCCTGTGATGCGGATGTGGCGGGGGCGAGCATGCGATGGGTGCATAGAGGCATATCAGAGGACGTGGAGGTCTTGGGGCCTCGAATTGACCACGAGTTGGGTCCCTCCCCTTGGCAAGGATATGTACGGGGTGGGCGGACATCTGGATGCGTTTGCAAAGCTTCCTGTGCATGTGCGTCTTGTAACGGCATGCTGGGGATGCATTTGGCCACTCGAAACAAGCCAAGTTGCAGCCTCCCACATCCGCCCCCAGAGATGCCTTCACAGGCCCCTCCCCCCTCCCCTCCTTACAAAAACATTCCCAGCCCATCCACCCCTCCGCGGCACTCACAATGACGCCCTTGCTCTTGAGGACGCGCAGGACCACCACGGCCACGATGCCCAGCGCCACAAGGACGAAGAGCACGGTGATGCAGGTGTCGGTGGCCAGCGACTTGGCCATGTCCCGCATGATCTGTCGCGCTTTCTTCATGGTGAAGTGGATCTCGTCCAGGTCGTCCAGCACCTGCATGGTGTGTGGAGGGCCACGGCCTGAAGGGGTGACGCAGCTGGTGCTGCCTGGTGCTGTGCTTCACGGCACCACCCATGCACTCAAGGGGCGATCAGCGATCCCTCGTGCGACTCAGTAGACTCTGCAGGACACTGAGCCCCAAGCCCACCGGCTCATTGCATGCGACGAGGCCAGAGGCCTTGCCCCTCAAATCCATCTGTGCGGCCTGCATTCCAGGCATCCAATAGGCCACAGCCCCACCTCCACATGTAGCGACCTCCATGCAAAGTAACAGCTCGTCCTCCGACCGCCCCTTCCCTCCTTCCTTACACACACACATATACACACACCACACCTTCCCCAGCTGCTGGCCCTGGAGCTGCAGCGTCTCGGCGGTCTGCGCCCCCACCGCCACCGTGTCATTGACGATGCGCTCGGAGCGCAGCAGCGAGGCGTCCGTCTCCTTGATGGCCTTGCGGCCAGACACCATCAGGTCCGACACGGTGCTGGTGTCCTGGGTGGGCAGCCCAGAGGGGCCCACCTGCATCAGCTCGTCCCGCCCCGGGATGTGGCCGTGTGCGTAAGCCTTCTTCAGCCCTATGAAGCCGTTCAGCTCCTGCACCAGCTGCTTGCGGCGCGCCGCCAGCTCCTCGGGGGACAGGCCGTCCAGGCGTGCCTCCCGCTCAAACTCTCGGATCAGGCTGCCGGCGGGTTGATGGGAAAGGGAGGTGAGTGCACACTGGATGCCTGGGCATGACACCGCAGACATGGGGTAACAACAGCATGAGTGCTTCCAACGCCCACAGTGCCGGAGCAGGGGGCCGATACATCATCAAGTCGGTCTCACATCTTGGCCTCCTGCATGTGCGCCGTGAGCTCCTTGAGCAGGGACTGGCGCTTGCTGCCTTCTGGCAGCTTGTCCAGCTTCTTGAATCCATCGGACAGGGTCTTGAAGAGGTTCTCGAGCTGCACTTCCTGATCGTACACCTCCGCCATTCTGGTGTTTCAGCAGGGGATGCGCGTGAGGGATCACCGTCCTGCCTCTGTCCACAGCGCTTCCGCGTCTGGCCAGGGATCCCGGCAGGGAGTGTGGGAGACTTGCGCGATAGTGCAGGCTTCACAGCATCCCAAAGAGTCCAATTGAGACAAGTGTGTGCAAATAGTGCCGAGACTCATGGAGCGGGCAGAAGCGGACACTTTGTCATGGCCCCTGAAGCGCGATTCGCAATCATGAGTTCAATGTCAGCGGGAGGGCCGAACTTGAGCGCGCGCCGTGCATGGGAGAATGGAGCAGTATTAAGTCTGTATCACGCAGGTCTACCAGAGCTGCGGCAAGGCATGAGCCAAAGAACAATATCGATCTAAACGCTTTATAGTGAATTCCTCATCGCGACTGGAGCTGCCGATGGGCTGCGCATAGACCCACCCACCACTCGCAATGGCTGGCGCCGGGTCCCAACACAACAAGGTGAACACACCAGGCATACCATCCATGACACTCCATTACCTGCTTTATACATAATCGCAATCCATTGGGACTCTCTGGCCATTCACCCGGGACCACTCGGGCTCCGAGCCTTCGCATGCCGGACACAACCAACCACACTCACCCATTCCACAGGCCCACAAAGCTGGCCGTAGGGCTGGTAGGAGCGCCCGTGAAAAGCATAAAGACAGCAAAGGTGTGTCGAGGGGCTGCGTGGGGTCTGGAGTCTGTCATCATCAATTCTGGAAGCCCCTCCCTGGTGGTGGTGGGTCCTACAGCATTGCGTGGGCAGCCTTGGCGCTCCACCCTCTCTCCAACTCCCTGCCCCACCAATCCCCCAGATGCCGGTGGTCGCGCCCCCATCAAATCCGGCGCGGGGGTGCAGCAGCGCCGGGCCGACCGCCTGAATTCGGCCAAGCAGGTACGGGAATCGAAGCGCGCAGCGCTGCTGGCCAGCCGCCGGGCGGCCGCCCCGCCGCGCGTGGTGGCCCTGTTCCCGCTCTCTGATTCCCTGGACGTGACCGCGGCCTGGGCCTCGCTGCTGGCGGCGTGCGGCGCACCCGAGGCGACCGGCTCCCACTCACCGCCCCGCCCGGTCACGGTCACCACGAGCGATGCGCGGCGCTCGCGCCTGACCCTGCTCCCGCCCCCGCCCGTCCCCGGCGACGCGCTGGGGGCGCTGGACTTAGCCCGCGCCGCGGACTGCGTGCTGCTCCTGGCGGACGGCGATGGCGGGCTGGGCGAGGATGTCGAGCGCGTGCTGGCCACGCTGCGCGCTCTGGGCCTGCCCGGCGCCATCGGCGCGGTGGTCAGCGGCGCGCCGCCCGCCGACCTCAAGGCGCGCTCCGCGGCCAAGAAGCGCGCGGCGGCGCTGCTCGCGCGCGTCGCCGCGCCCGAGGTCCGGGTCATGGCGGCCGATGGGCCCGCCGACTGGGCGGCGCTGGTGCGCCACCTGGCGGACGCCGCGCCCGCCGTGCCCGGCTGGAGGCAGCACCGCCCGCAGCTGCTGGTGGAGGGCGCCGAGCTGGCGGGCGAGGGGGGTGGCTCGGACGGCACCGTGACCCTCCTGCTCAGGTGGAGTACAGGGAAGGGTGTGGTCCGTGTGCAGGGCGTTGGGAGGGAGGCAGTGGCTGCTCCTGCGCAGGCGCCCGGGACATGAAAGGCTGACTCCCCGTACATTGTAGCCCCCCTCCATCCTCTGCCCTGCGCCGACAGCATCCCACTGCCACTTGACAGGGGGTATGTCCGCAACCTGGGCCTGTCGGTTCGCCAGGCCGTGCACGTCCCCGGCGCAGGCGACTTTGCGCTGAGTCAGATCGACGCGCTGCCGGAGCCGGGGCGGGGGCGGGACGGAATGGACGCCGACCCTGCGGTCCTGGCCACCGCGGGGCCTGAGGAGAGGGCGAATCTGGACCGGGAGAATGTGCCCGATCCTCTGGCCGGCGAGCAGACCTGGCCGACCGAGGAGGTGGGTGTGGGTGTGGGGGGGGCGGTGCTGCTCTGGAGGGCGCCGGAAGTGGCGAGGGGCCGTCGTCCCACGAGCCCGGAAGTCTGCTGCATGGTATCGAGCCATCCTGAGCCGCCACCCCTCCAACACTCTTTGCCCCTCCCTCGTCAACCACAGGAGCTGGTGGAGGCGGAGGCGGAGCGTCGCGCCGCCGCCAAGCTGAAGAAGCGGCGGCTGCCGGCCGGCACCTCAGAGTACCAGGCCGCCTGGATCCTGGACGAAGACGAAGGGAGCGAGACGGGGAGCGAGGCAGGGGCGGGCTCGGACGAGGCCATGGAGGAAGGCGCGCCGGCAGGCGTACCGCTGGCGGAAGACGATGTCGACTCCCTGCTGAACGGGGGGGCGGAGGGCACGGAGGCCGACATGGACGTGAGCACAGGGGGAATTGGCGGGATGGACGTGGCTTTTCTGGCTTTCTTGGGGTATGAAGGCCCTGAGGCAGGGTTTACAGGGTTCTAACACTCTCTGTGACCTTCCCTTGGGGGGGGGGTGAGTCGTTTCTTTGCACCGCGGCTCCCATGGCTGAGTATTCCAGCCGGCGCCCTGCCCTGCCACACACCGATGCCCTCCTTTCCTCCCGCAGTACGCCGAGGACGAGGAGGAGGAGGAGGATGACCTGGCGGCCCGGCGGCACATGGTCCAGGACGATCAGGAGTACCCGGACGAGGTTGGGGGAGCAGGGTTGGCGGTGTGGGAGTGAGTGAGGGATCTGACGGGGAGAAATGGCGGCGTGCATCTGCACAACATGGGTGACCCTCTGCAAGTTTCAGGCATGGAAAGGACTGAATCATTGCACATGGCAGAGCATTCGTTGAAAACCAATCTCAACCCCCCTTCCCCCCCCCCCAGGTGGAGACCCCCTCCGGCGTTCTGGCTCGTGAGCGCTTTGGCAAGTACCGTGGGCTGAAGAGCATGAGGACCAGTCCGTGGGACCCGCGCGAGTCACTGCCGCTGGAGTACGCGCGCGTCTTTGCCTTTGACAACTTTGTCCGGTGAGGGACGGGGAACTGGTGCACGGGTGAAGTGTGGGGGAGACACGGGCGTGCGACGCAACAGCAGCCGTCCCCCTGGGCGCCCCTGCCGCTCTCATCGTCCGCATCACCAGCAACCCGCATTTCTTTCCTTCCTTTCTTCCTCAACCCAGAACGCAAAAAAGGGCGCTGGCCGCGGCGAGCTCCGGGCAGGAGGCGGCGGCCCCCGCCGGCACCTATGTCCAGCTGCACGTGGTGGCGGTCCCCGCCGACGCCGCCAAGCGAGTGCAGGAGCGCGTGGGCGCCTGGAGCGCGGTGAGTCAGCGGGATTGCTGCGAGGTGGAAGGGGCGGACGGAGGCTGCGCGCCACTGCAATCACCACTCCTGCTTGCCAGACACCTCGATGCCGGGCCAGCTACATGTGCTACGTCCGCCCACCTCTCCCCAATCGACCAATCACACTCGCAGGGACTGGCCAGCCCCCTCACCCTCTTCGGCCTGCTCCAGCACGAGACCAAGCTGTCGGTGGGCCACTTTGCCTTGACCCTGGTGCCCGAGGCGCCCGCCCCGTTGGCAAACAAGGAGGAGCTGCTGCTGGTGACCGGGGTCAGGGCCTTCCGCGCCCGCCCCGTCTTCTCCAGCGACGAGCACGGCGCGGATAAACACAAGATGGAGCGCTTCCTGCACCCTGGCAGGTGAGCGCTGGTTGTGGTTTAAAAAATGAGGGAAGGGGTTCACGGGGGAGGGACGCTGCTGTGCAGGGGTAATCTGGCGCGTCTGGAGGATGGGACTCTGGTCACTACACTCCTCCCCGAGATCCCCGGCCAGGCTGGGTCTGTGCCCTCCACTCCCCCTTTCCCAACCATCTCCCGCCCACCACCTACTCACCCCCTCAAACACAACCACTCCCTGCCGCAGGCCGTCGGTGGCGACCGTGTACGCCCCCATCTCCTACCCCCCGCTCCCCCTGCTGGCCTTCAGGCTGGAGGGAGGGGCCAGGCCCGTGCTGGCGGCCACGGGGTCGGCGCGCCGCCCCGACCCCGACCGCGTGGTGCTGAAAAAGATCGTGCTGACCGGGTACCCCGTGCGCACGCACAAGTCCAAGGCGGTGGTGCGCCACATGTTCCACGACGCAGACGACATCCGCTGGTTCAGGCCGGTGGACCTGTGGACGCGCAGCGGGCGGCGCGGGCGGATCAGGGAGCCGCTGGGAACCCACGGCGCCATGAAGACCATCTTCGACGGGCCCATCACCCAGGCAGACGCCGTGTGCATGTCCCTCTACAAGCGGGTGTTCCCCAAGTGGCCCCTGGACATGGCCTTTGCCGCGTGCTGAGGGGTGAGGTCTGTTTCTGACCCGATGCCCTGCAGATCGGTGCGGCATGCTGCGCGTGCTGCCACATGACGGGAAAATGGTGTGGAGGACACGCACCTCCTCAGATATGGAAATATACACAGCCATGCAGCTAGATTTTTACGTGGATTTCACAGTCGACACACATCGGGATGCAGCTCGCACAGTCAGCAATGCGCTCCGCGGCGCTCAACACCGGCAGCGTCCGCCCATTCGTCACGGGACCACCGGGGCAGGTACGCCCGCCCACATCGCCATATGTGACGCAGCCATGCGCACGGAGGTGGCAATGCAGCAAGACGACTGCCAGCCAATCTGTGCGCCACGTCGACCCCAGAGTCTCGAGTGGTGAGAAGTGCATGAGGAGCGGTGTCGAAACGCGGAACCTTGCCCTGCTTGAGGAGGAGGGCGAAACTCAGTTTTATCACGCGCTGCTTTAAACCCTCCCGATGCACAGTGGATGTACCAGCGGAGGAGCAGGCTGCCCCCATGGTCGCGATGCAGGGGGACGTAGTCACCCTGCGCTGGACGTGTCGGGGAGAGGATGGCGAGGTGCGTGGACCCCCTGGGGATGGGTGCATCAAGGCTGTCTGGCAGTAAATGTCTGCACGATGGCTGTTTGGGTCGTAATTGTAGCATGAAAAGGGTATGGTACAATACTCAGCTTCCCGATCCTGAAGGTGATGGACTCCAGCGATGCTCATGACGCCCCGGCCACATTTGAAGTAGGTATCAGTGATGTTGCCGCAAACCCACTCATAGAGGTGAGTGTGTGGCAACTTGTGTTCTATCAGGGTCAGTTTGGAAATCTGGATGGAAATTGTGCTCAGTGTTTGGGGGTCATCTGTTGTATGCAACCATTGTGGGGTTGGCAGGAAGTTGGGTCTGACCTCCTGCAGCACGCTGTCGGGACTGCCTGGTCACCCTTAGACCCCCATACCTTGCCCGAGCAGGCCTTTGACTCTGCTGTACGAGGAATGGCTGTGGGCGACAAGACCTCCATCCAGGTATATATTAGACTTAAGGTTCTGTTTGCGAGTGGGGTGATAGGTTTCACTGCACTTTCTGTAAAGGTGCCTTGCCACCAAGGCCCCAGTCTTTGGGACAGGTAGGGATAGTGCATGGAATTGAGCTGCGATTTGGTGACATCTTGCATTACTCAGCGTTCTGAACATCCCCAGTCATCCCCTGGTTCGCCCTTGTCAGGTGGAGGGTGCAGAATGGAACCCCGAGCTCCTGTTCAGAGTGCCTTGGGACCATCCGGAGATGGAGCGCCTCAAAGGACGCTACAAGAAGTGAGCGCCAGGGCTGTTGGCTGGATGGGACGGTGTGATGAACTATTGGCACAGTGCACGATGAGTAGCTCAACTCTCCGAGGGATTGCCCTGCCCAATATTCACCTGTACACGACTGTGCACACCCCCTATCCAACCTGTGCGCAACACCGACCCTTTTTCATCTCCTGCCTCAAATGCAGCATGGGGGGCGTGAAGGAGGGGCTGGTGGTGGAGTTGAGCAACGGCGGCCGCGCGGTGGTGACGGCGACGACTGGCGACGATGTGATCCTCGACGCCAACGCCATGCTGGCGGGGCAGAGCGTGGCCATGGACCTTCACCTGACCCACATCGTGCGACCCACCTGATCTGGCGGTGATCAAAGTGCACTCGAGTCCTTTTCCCACGTCTCTCTGGCCCCTGCATCCCTCGTCATTGTCGCTCAGCCGCTGGCCCTGTACTCCCCAGAACTTCTGCCCCATTGGCCTCGTCAGGCCATGCGCGTGTTTCATGGCACGCTCTGTAATCACGACGTCACTGCATCAAGACCCGAGGCACGCCAGCATGCGGGCGCAGGGCCCCCCCGGCTGCACGAGCAGCGTATGTATCCGCCGCTCCACGCCCTCCGCCACGTCCCCGCCCTTCCCGCCCAGCGCCCAGCGCCGGAGGGCGGCGTCGCCCTCCCCGTCGCCGCGCGCCAGCGCCGCAAGCAGGCGCTCGCGCTGGGTCCCACGCAGCTCCGCCGCGGCGGAGGCGACGTCGGCGTCCCCCGGCGCCAGCCTGGCAGCCGCCTCGGCCAGCGTGCCCGTGTCCAGCCAGGCCTGGGCGACGCCGGGGGCCGTGGCGTCCGGGGGCAGGCCCTCCGTGCACAGCGCGGTGCAGGAGCCCAGGCAGGCCCAGTGCGACCTCCGCCAGCGCATCGCGGGCCAGGTCGGCCGGCAGCGCCTCCGCCACGTCGAGCGCGG